TCCACAGTCCATGAGTCCACTGTGATTTAAGGTCCAATGTTGGAGCTCACCATATAGAGTGATGTTACTGCTCTGTTCACTTGACGGTGTTCAGGCGTGGCCGCTTAGGCTGGAGGACTGTACAAAGGGGGGGTCAGATGTTGCCCCATATCCAGAAGCCTGGTTCCATTAGAGCCAAGGAGGGAAGGCTCTGGCAGAGTGTTAAGGTAGCAAGGGAAAGAGGATCGGTGAGTACACCTTGCTGGCGGGAGGGGGTTGAACTTTGGAAGGCACTGTAACTCTGCCTTGAATAGCCTATTACTTAACTTGCCAAAACTGAAATTGCTGGACTGGCCACAAATCTATCCACAGAGTGGTCAGTGTGTCTCTCTCCCCCCCCCCCCCCCCCCCTCCCCCCCCCATGCTTTCAGCAAATGGTTTGCCATTGACCGTGAGTCTTGTAAATACAGACTATCCGTTCACCATTTCTTTAATCTCATCTATCGCAATTCTGTTTTAAGTATGCCGACCCTGTGGCTGACTTGCTGGATCGCTGGGGTGTGTTTAAGGCGAGACTCTTCCGAGAATCCTGCGTGTTCCACAGAGGAAACTACGTGAAAGATCTGAGTCGTCTAGGAAGAGAGCTGAGCAAGGTCATCATAGTGGACAACTCGCCAGCGTCCTACATCTTCCACCCGGAGAATGCGGTAAGTAAACCTACTGTGTGTTTCATGTATGTATACAAAATATATATAGTGTGTGTGTGTGTGTGTATGTATGTATATATATATTATATATATATATATATATATAATATATATATATATATATATATATATATATATATATATATATATATATATATATATATTGTGTGTGTATATATATATGTTTGTGTGTGTGTGTCTGTATGTATGTATGTATATATATATATATGTTTGTGTGTGTGTGTATATATCTATCTATATATATATGTGTGTGTGTGTGTGTGTGTGACAAAATTATGGAAACAAAAGAAATGAAGCTGTTACCTATTATGGTGTTGGACTTCCTTTGGCATCCCAGACGGCCTGAATTCTCCTGGGAATTGACAAATATAAGTCTTGGATGGAATCTGATACCACTCTTCATGCAAAGTTCGGTCCAGTTCTCACAGAGATGCTGGAGATAGGAAACAAGTCTCAACCTTGTTTTTCAAAAGTGACCATAGTGGCTCTATGATATTGAAGTCCGGTGACTGCTGCTCCCAGGGAAGGTGCTATACTTCGTCTGCATGCTCATCAAACCACGATTTGACAACACCAGCTGCGTGAATCGGAGCATCTTGGTAAATGGCGCTGTCTTCTGGTAAAAATGTGTGCACCATGGGGTGCAAATGGTTGGCCAGAATTTGTACATAGTCACTGGCAGTGACTCCACCTAAATGGCTGCCCAAACCACGATTGCTCCTCCACCATGCTTTAGCATTAGCACAAGACAGTCCTGGTCATAAGCTTGGGTCGGTGTTCACCACACCTAAACACATCTGGTGGTTGGGAACACTGTGAAGCTCGATTCATCGGACCGTATTACAGTCTTCCATTGATCGATAGTCCATGATTTATGGGTGTTGCACCACTCTCTCCTCCCCTGAGCATTAAAATCGGTCACTAGTGGTTCGGCAATTGCAGCTCACCCATGAATGTTTTGCCTATGACACTTTCCTGCATTGTCAATAGTCCCCCACACCCCCCAGTCTGAGTGCTGGTGTGAAGAGGTTTGCATATTTTATTTGGAGTCCATGATTTGATGTTCTTTGCAAAGTGAGATTTTACCACAATCGCTAAGCATGCATAGTGAACAGCTTATTTGCCTTTAATAAATCAACTCCCATAAAGTCTAATGTTATAGAGCTGTTGATGTATCAGATTTGTTGGCCATCATCAGTACAGTGTATGAAAACATTAAAATGGTTTGAGTTTAAAGTGCAACTCCACTTTTGTTGAGCAATACATCCCCCCCTTTGTTAAAATCCCTGCAATGTACAGAGATCACCCAAACAGGTTTTTACTTTTGTTATTCTGAAGAAATAGTTGTTTGTGTCCATGTGCAAAGTGGATGGCAATGACTTTATAAGTATCAATCTGCAATCAGGGCTCTAATGAGGAAAGTGGCAGGGTCTGCATCCCTTTGGAACAGCTTTCTCTTTGGGAGTATCTCACCAAAAATGAAATATTTGTTGCAGGGGATGCCCAAAATCAGACTTGTATCTTCATTTCTAATATTTAATTACAATATAACTTGTATAGCAGTTATATATGCTATATTTTTTTTTTAAACATTTTTTTCCCATGAAAGTGTAATTACCCTTTAATTATGGCTAATAAATGTGCATTATTTTTTTTTTTTTTTAAAGGTCCCAGTGCAGTCCTGGTTTGATGACATGTCGGATACAGAATTGCTCGAATTGATTCCCTTCTTTGAAGGGCTAAGCAAAGAAGAGAACGTTTACAACATGCTGCATAAACTTTGCACCAGGTAGCCCCAAATGGCGCCCTCCAGCGGGTGGCTGTGATCTGCAACACCTGCAGGCTAAAGCTCGTCTTTTTGGGGCCCACAGTTATTTTTTTGCTTCTCCACATTTGCTATGAAATTAGCCCCGCAGAAGGCGATTGAGCCGCCACAGCCTCTCATTCTTCCCACTGGTGACCAAGGCCGTTGAACCCTCTGGAGCCATCCTTCCGCTGAGCTCGGAACAAAAATATTTTCCGCAGAGGGACCTCGTTTTGTACAAAAATAAATCTTGCCGCTTTCTCAGCGTCACAATGGTTACCGAACAACTGACACGGAGTTACAAAAAAACGAAAATATTTTTAAAGAGCGCTTTTCACTAATTTTTCGTAACAAATTGTTAAGAACTTTTCAGGCTTTTATAAAGGAACAAAAAAACACCAAATGATTTGATTCAACAGAGGATGTAAGAACACGCTTAATGCTAGCAAACATATCTGCCCCCCCCCCCCCTCCTTTTCTGCCCTCTTGGTTTTTCCCTACACTATGCAGACATATCTTTATCCTTTGCTTCGAGCAGTTGACCTGTCTTCGAGGCCGCTTTTCTTTCTCCTACAGAATGAAGTGCCTTTTCAAGTGTTTGATTTTAAGAAGATACAAGAAAAAAAAAAAAAAAACATTTTCTACTCAACAAAAAATTTACATATCTCTTACCTTTCTACCGTCTAACAAAAAAAAAAAGAAAGAAAAAAAAAAGCAAACACGACTTTATAAAGTACTGTCAGGACACTCGCTACTAAACATGGATTTCTCGATGCAGAGCGCATGCTGCAACACTATTGTTTTAGGAGAATTCCCAAATCCTGGGTTACAGGTTTGCAGTTTTTTGGGGAGGGCGGTCCAGCCCCATCTTGTAATTTTGTTTTCGTTGCATTCATTGCTCTACAGTCCACAGACAAGGCCGTTGTAAATTTTTAATTGCGATTTTGTGTGTTTATTATTATTATTATTTTTTTTCTCTTTTCCCCCGTGTCTACATTATGATAACAAAATACATTTTGTTTTGCCTCTATGTATCTAAAGCTCATGTTCGCGATTCCATTTTGAAAGCAGAGATTGCAGGAACCTTTTTGTTGCCGTTCTTTGGAAAGGTCAGCCTGTCCAGACTGGGATTGTTCAGTTTCAGGTGAAGGCCTGTGTGCCTGCGTGTTCACTCAGTGTTCTTCAGGGACTCCAGCTCCGTCCACCCGCCATGAAATAAGGATTGATATTTCCCTTTTCCTTTCCTGTTTTTGCAGAGAATGCAGCAAGAGGAATTTGATTGCATGATGTCTAGGGGCCACAGGAGAGCTCTTAATGATGAAGTGCATTCAGAATCTGTGCATTTGTAATGGTGAACTCCAGATAGGTATGAAGACCAATGTTTAATTAGGCTGTCCAAAATATCAGGGGTGGCCAATCTTCAGCCCTCCAGCTGTTGAGGAACTACAAGTCTCACAAGGCATTGCTAAACTTGACAGCCACAGGCATGACTCCCAAAGGGAGAGGCATGATACGCTTTGTAGTTTCCTCACAACTGGAGGGTTGATGTTTTCCCAACTCTATATATCATGTGTACATGTCTTAATGTTTGCTTGTTTTCTGCATTCCTGTGCATAGCAGAACTCTAAGAGGAGCACTCTGAGCCAGGCAAGTTTTTCAGTTTTGCCCAGTGCTGTCAGTCTAACAATGGAAGTGATGACCTCATGAGCCTGCTTCTGTCCTATCCAATCAGTGGGCTCATAGTGAGCCTTTGACCAAACTGTTCTGCGTAACTGCACAGGAGGAGAATAAGGTCAGGGACCTGGCTGTGCTGTCTGGCAGGGATGCCACATAGATTTCAGATGTACAGGAGTTCAACTTTATTTAAAAAGCAATATAGTGACAAAATTACAATTAAAGGGCACTTTATCTGCCTCTTTTTGGCCATAACGTATATCTTTGGCAGTAGGACGGTGTTCGGCTTTAATGCTGTGCTGCCATATATATGCATGCATCCCTGTTCTGTGCTGGAAGTGCGCCTAATCAGCCTATCCGGCACTGTGATGGTGCTATCATAAACCGCTTTCAATCACTGTCTTAGATCCTAGAGCTGGTAGGATTGGTTCCCGGTCATGTGACCACTGTTATAGCTGTTTACAGTAATAACATGATCAGGAAGGCATGGTGCTAAGATCCCCTTAAAGGGCCACCCACCCCCCAAAATAAAACCGTACTTGTCTGTCCACCAGAAGAGCTAAGCTTACTGAGAAGTTTTTAAGCTGAATTCCAGGTATTACAAGAAGGGCAGGCACACTGTGAGTTAAGTCTAATCAAATGCATGTCACCTCCCGGACTTTTCTGTTACTCATGAGACAGATTTATTGCACTCCTGGAGGACATACTCTGCATGTGAGAGGAGAGAAGCACACAGATCCGCTATGCCTGCCCCTCTTCTCCACTGCCCATTCACAGAAGCCTTTGTATTTTGTAAATTGGATCACAGTGCAAAGGCTTCTGTGAATAGGCAGGAGGGGAATGGTGGGTATAGCCGTTCCAGCGGCTCTGCTCTTGAAGGAACTGAGACCACAGGTCAGAGTTGTGGAAGTTCTCTTCCTGGAGCACAATAGACCTGTCCAATGTGAAAAATAGAGATAAGTCAGGCACCTCGTTAGACCTAACTCGTGGTATGCATGCAGTTTTTACAAAGTAGCTGAATTATCCTATGCTTAGCTCTTCAAGAGTGTGAACAGATAAGTATTCAACCTTTTCTTTACCGGGTGCTCCTATTAAATTGTTTCATCCAATGTCAGAGTCCATTTAACAGCATTTTACTATTTTTTACGCATGAAAAATGCTTATATGCATATACAATTGCATGCTTTTCTAATGCACAGCAATGTGAACAGAAGTTTCCTGCAAGGAGACCTTGTAACTGGAGTCCCAGTAGATCTAGAACAGCCTGTGATTCAGCTGACCAGTCTACGCCAAGAACTGCAATCCCAGTCTTAGGCCTAATCCTTTATGGAATGGTTGTGGGGGAAGATGGGGGGGGTCTTATTTATTGATCATAAGAGAGAAATGTTTTTAAATTTGGATATAATTAGCAGATGCTTTGTGTTGGTTTATAAGAGAAAAGGATTTTATTTTTTAACTGCTGCTACTGTACAGTCTCCATAAAATGTTGACCACCGGCTCTTGAAACTGTTCCTTTGCCGCTGTGCCTAGGCGTTTAGTACGTTTTACTGCAAACTCGGGCAGTACACAGGCGTCTAAATCACTTCACTTTTATTCTACATACCGCAGCCCCCCCCCCCCCCCCCCCCCCCCCGTGTGTGCGCGCTCAGGAAAACACACCCTTTCCCCCCCTCACCGTCCCTCTTTGCCGCAAGGGTGGCATTTAAATTGGATCTAAACCCGATTTCTAACGCCTCCTATAGGAGCATTAACACGATGTAATTTTTCAAAGTTGTTTGAAATATTTTTAATATAATGATAACTGATGATCCTATCATGAAGGCCATTGTTCAGGAACTTCCTGTTATTGGGTGACAACAGTGTCACTAAAGTTCTCCTACGTTGTCACCCTCTCAATTCCACCCCTACTGCAGCAGTGTGCAGACATGGTTCAGCGTTGTCAGTTGTGAACCCAGCCCAGAGCAATGATATGCAGCTGAGATGGGCAGGAAGGTGACGTGTGCTTTAGCAAATTAAATGTCATTTAGGGTTTAGATCTGCTTTATGAATGCTGAAATTGCAATGGACTTGCTTCATAATACATTCAAAGGATAAATGTACTTTAAAATGAGGTGCTCTTATCCTGTCTAGCCTCCCACCCCCTCAACTACCCACCTGCCCCAGATGCTCAGTTACATGAATCTGACAGCCGTGGCCTTCCTGGACATGTTTGGAATACAAACCCATAGAGATCTATGTAGATCACTGAGATGCCAAGTTCAGTTCAAGAGGTGCTAATTTTTAATAAAGATTCAGATTTTACCTTTTATCAATCATAAGCTCACTAGACACATAAGAGAAGGCAGACGAGGGATGAAGGACAGAAAAGTGCCACCTATCCTGTACACGGCTGGGCCCTGGACCACTTGTAAAAACACAGACGAGAAAGGGAGCACCAGCCTAGTGCATCAATCCCATGTTACATTTATTGATAAACCACATTAAAATCTATTCACAAACCATGTGAAAGAAACCGCATATCAAGCTATGCATCTGTAGCACGGGTGTTCGCCAGACTGAGCACATGCCAGAGCTCAGGAGAACTCCACAGAGATATTAGATGGCTTACACGTTTCGAGGGCTATAGAGCCAAACCATCAGGACCCTCTCGGCTCAGAAATTTATACCACGCTAATCATGATGTGAGAAACATAAGCTCCTCCCATCATGGGGTGGGCCACGTTTTCCCAGGGTAATGTGTGGCCTTCTCCCATGATGGGAGGGGCTTGTCGTTCTCATGTCATGATCAGCGTGGCATAAGTTGCGAAGAGGGTCTAGCCCTTGAAAAGCATAAGCCATCTAGGATCCTGGTGTAGTTCTGAGCTCTGGAGTACATGGAGTCTGATGAATAATGTGTAGCTTGATATGCCGTTTCTTTCACATGTTTTGTGAGTATATATTAATGCAGATTATGAATCAATGTTACATGGGATAATGCACTAGGCTGGTGCGCCCTCTTTTGTTGGTGTTTTTGTCGCTGTGTTCCGGGATTCCCCCAGTCCTCAGAGGGCAGCAAGGCTTGGAGTATCCTTGTTCTGCGAATGGAGAACTGTTACTAGACTACCACACTCATGCACAGGAGGTGTTGTGTTCTGGAGCCATTGTATCCCTGCACCACCTGTAGCTGAGGCCTTGCAGAGGACATTTCCATAGACCGTCCCTCTGATCTTGCCCTTTACTGTCCTAAGGCTGGGTGTCTTATCAGAAGAGATCGGAGAGCTATTACTAAACCGCATAAAAGGGTTCTGACAACTGTCCAGCTGGAGACAACATATG